GTTGTCTTCCTGGAAACAGAACCGAAAGGGAAGGACTTCTCTAAAGTACAATGCTATGAATGTAAGGAGTTTGGGCATGTTGTCTTCCATTGCAAGAAAAAGAATACATGCACTTATTGCAAGCAGTTCGACCATATCATTACTGAATGCCCTACTCGGCCTCAGAAAATTGGTGGATCAAATCAGAAGAAAGAAAGCTACATGGCCTATCAGACTGTTGTAGATGGATCATGGATCATATGCCTCCTCCATTACTTTTGTGGTTGGCCAAAATGACACCTCCGGTGGCATGTCTGAAGAATGGATTCGATAGCTCATGTCCTCGGTCATCTCCTTAGCCTTCTCTGTTATTGGCCTATCTGGTAAGTCACCAACCTTTTGTCCTTCACCAAATCACCTCTGGTATATTGACTCGGGAGCCTCTAACCATATTATAGGGACCACACTCGATCAGTATCCCAAACCCATCTTCCCAATAAACACATTGTCACTGCAAATGGTGAAAAATTAGATATATTTGGCTGTGATGATCAGTATTTATCTACATCTAAGTCATCTCTATTTCATTTATCCAAAAATTTATTTGTACCTAAGCTCACCGCCAATTTGATTTTTGTTGGCCAATTTGTAAAGGAAGTTAACACTGTCTCATTCACTTCTGATGGTTGTTTGATATAGGACCGACAAACTAAGGAGGTGAAGGGGAAGGGCGTAGACTGGGACGACTATTTGCTCTGGCGTTTGAGAAGAATAAGGTTGCACCCATTTCTACTTCTTATTTGCTTTCTACTACTTCTGGTTTTGAGTCCTTTAATTATAATAATGATTGGCATTTGTGGCATAAACGCCTTGGCCATCTGTTTTCTAAGAAACTTGATCAGTTATTTGCTTCTGATAGTTTACCTATTTTTGCTATTTCCTTTAAGAATGTTAATAAAGATTGCATTACTTGTGGTTTATGTAAGAGTCACATTTCACCTTTTCCTTCTCACTCTGAGCATGCTACAGTTCTATTTCATTTAATACATAGTGGTGTTTGGTCGTCTCCTGTTGTTTCACGGTTGGGTTATAAGTACTTTGTAACCTTTATTGATGACTGCACCCGTTTCACTTGGGTTTATTTTCTTCGAAAGAAATCTGAAGTTTATTTTGTATTTAAGCACTTTCATGCTTATGTTACTACCCAATTTGATGCACGGATATGTGTGCTACAATTGGATTCAGGGGGAGATTATTTTGGTGGGGATTTCCAAACTTACTCAAAACAACATGGAATTCAATCCCAAAAATCCTGCCCAAGCACCCCACAACAAAACGGGGAAGCAGAAAGAAAGAATGGGCATATTTTGAGTGTAGTCAAAACACTTATACAAGATTCCCATGTACCCTCTTGGTTTTGGGTGGAAGCAGCCGGCACTGTTGTGTATCTCAAAAATCATCTTCCTTCATCTGTTTTGAATAATTCTTCCCCTTTCCAATCTCTCTTCCACAAACCTTCAGATCTATCTATGCTCAGGGTTTTTGGTTGTGCTTATTTTGTTCACCTTCCACCTCGTGAACGCACAAAGCTAACAAAACAAGCGGCTTTGTGTGCCTTTATGGGGCACAATTCTGAACATATAGGACTCCTTTGCTATGATCCTTCAGTCTGTCGTATTCGAATCTCTCATAATGTAGTTTTCCTTGAGAGAGTGTTTTTTTGAACATACTGTAAAATTTTCATCTCCTTCCACTTCCTTGTTGCATAGTTTTGACTCTACAAGTACCCTCAAGCATACCAATATCACCTCCGCAACAACTTTAGACCTACTTCAAAAAGCATTAGTCTTCTTCAATCTTAATGCCCCCCTCCGCTCCACCACCAACTGCTGATCCAATCACTCCAACTGCCCCAATAAGTGCACTTGATCCTCCACTTGAACCCTTTGTACCCACTTTACATCGTTCTTCTAGAATTTCTCACCCACCTGACCGCTATGGTTTTTCACTAAACCATAGCTCCTTCTCTGTTGTTTTATCTACCACAGACATTCCCAGATCTTACCAGCAGGCTATAGTAGAACCACATTAGAAAGATGCCATGGATTCTGAGATCTGAGCCCTTCTTGAGAATGACACCTGAGACTTGGTCAAAGCTCCACCTGAGACATCTCCCATAGGGAGTCAATGGGTCTACTCCGTGAAGCTGAAATATGATGGGAGCCTAGATAGATACAAGGCTACGTTGGTTGCACAAGGCTATAAACAGGAATATGGGATAGATTATGAGGAGAACTTTGCTCCTATAGCAAAAATGACTACTGTACGACTTCTAATCGCTATATCTACAACCAAATAGTGGACAATCCATCAAAGGGACGTAAAGAATGCTTTCCTCCATGGGGAGTTGAAGGAGGCAGCCTATATGAAGCCCCCTCCTAGATATTGTACAAACCCATAGCTTGTTTGTCATCTAAAGAAGTCACTCTATGGCTTGAAGCAAGCTCCTAGAGCCTGGTTTGAGAAGTTTAGATCTGTTATCATTGATGTAGGCTTTATCCAGAGTTCTTCAAATCATTCTTTATTCATTTTAAGACGGAAGCAGGGAGTGACGATCTTACTTCTTTATGTCGATGATATATTCATTACAGGGGATGATGTAGAAGGAATTGTTGAGCTGCAACAATTACTTAGTAAATCCTTTAAGATGAAGGACTTGGGGCCTCTGACATATTTCTTGGGGCTTGAAGTGAGACGAAACTCTCGGGGTTATTTTGTTAACCAACAAAAGTATGTGGCTAATCTAGTTAAACTGGCCAATCTCAATGACTCTAAGATTGTGGATACCCCACTAGAACTAAATTTGAAACTCAGCAAAGATGATAATTTTCTTCTAGAAGATCCTACTCTTCATCATCAACTAGTGGGGAGTTTAATCTATTTCACCATGACTCAACCGGATATATCATATGCAGTTCAACTGGTGAACCAGTTCATGTCTTCTCCAAGACAACCTCATTTATCTACAGTTCATCGGATCATTAGATATGTACGAGGCACCTTATCACATGGGATATTTTTCTCCTCTTCATCCCCCACCTTACAGCTTATGCAGACACTAATTGGGTTGGATGCCCTGACACCTGACAGTCCACTACCGGTTGGTGTGTATTCTTAGGCAACTCCCTTATCTCGTGGAAGTGCAAGAAACAACCTACTATATCAAAATCTTCCACTGAAGCTGAGTACAAAGCTCTGTCTTCCATGTGTAGTGAAATCATATGGCTCCGGGCTCTTCTACTTTAAATACTTAATGAACCATCACCATCTATTCCTCTCTATGCAGACAATGTCGGTGCAATCAAAATTGCCTCCAACCCTGTCTTCCATGAGTGCACCAAACCATAGAAGTTGATTGCCACTTCATCCGTGATCTCCTTCTTGAGGGTGTTATATCTCTTCCTCTTGTCTCCTCTAGGCTCCAACTGGCAGACCTATTGACAAAAGCAATGACTCAGGCTCGACATCTATTTCTCATGGACAAACTGATGCTTATTCCTAGGCATCAATTTGAGGGGGAGTGTAGAGACAGTGAGAAGATCTAGCCATAGGGCTATTTTTGTACTTTTACTTCTTTTGTTGTACATCTATTTTCTGTACTCTTTCTTTTGTACACTAAGGGAAGATTTGTCCTTTATATAAATATCTCTTTTAGGGTGTCAACAGTCACAAGGTGACACACCCACCAAACTGTTTGTTCTGTTCTCTCTTCTATCTCCTATCTTTTCAACTCGACTCTGACACAAAGGGCTTTGCCCCTCTCTACTTCTTTAGGAGCTAGAGAGTTATCATCTCTATTTAGTGGGTGATAATATTGTTGCTCCACATATCTGCAATATGATTGCCAACTCATCATGTTATAATACTATGATTAGTATCTCATGTACTTGTTCATAAAATATATATATATATACTATCTTGTGTACTCCACATAGCATTGGTAGTTTCCACTAGGAAATATGTCGATTCTAGTAATATTTCATGCCAAATTGTCAATACCCATGAAAATGAAAATATATCATAGAAACACTAGGAAATATGTTGATTTTAAACCATGGGTATCGCCAATCCGTTTCTCTATATTGGGGTGGTAGCCACCACCAACCATCCTCTAAAAATACATATAGAAAAAGCTGACAATTCTTGATTCATCTTCACCAACAGATTGCTTGAATCTCAATTAACTTGACAATTGAGCCTTTGGGTATATTTTAGCATTCTGCTAATATCAGCTACATATTCATTTCCCAGATCCAAAGTCAGGTACCTACTTGATTTACTCCACCTTGTCTGCATAATGTTTTGGCCTATTAATAATAGTCTTCCTAACTTTCAATTTCTAATTTAAAGATGCCAACAAACAAGAGTTGTCTTTAACATGAGGAGAGGTCCTTTAAGATGAAATTTATGCCATAATTAGAGTGAAGAGAGGAATCCAGAAACTCTTCCCAGAACAAAGAATTAACCTTAAGGAAGTTTCCTGGGACATTATTTATTTATTTTTTATCAATAACTGCAAATTTCATTAATGATCAAATCAAGGTACAAAAGAGATGAAAGAGGAGAGATAAACTCTCTTAACTCTCATCAGCATATTAGCAGTGTTACAATTGAGCCCAAAACAATTGAGTCTTTCCCACCCCTTGTTTAGCTAGTACATCAGCAAAAGCATTAGTGGTTCTTTTAACCCATGTAAATCTCACATCTATGTTTTGTGTCAGCCACTTGAATTTCCTCCTCACTTCTGAAGTTCCAGAGTCCAACTTCTCAATTAAATAACCCAACTAGAAAACCCACTTCCTGAGTCATGTATATCACAAAGAAGAAAAAGCATGCTTAGCGAAGGAGCATATATTCGGGAACATCAAGGACATAGCCAATTCAAAAGATAATTGTGCCACTTCTGATAAGCAAATGCTATATTAGAAAGAAGATAAAGTAAATTTAGTGAAGGAGCATACATTCAGGGACATCTGTTCTTGTTGGAACAGCAATTTGCAACAAGACTACTTTATCACGCCAATCTGGGTTTTCCTCAAGGAATTTTTCAAATGCTAGTATCTTCTGGGGAATTCCTTTAATCATGTCAAGACGATCAACACCTAACATTACCTGCCAAACAGAAATAACAAGCAAATAGAAAATGAAAAGCATATAGACAACAAACAAAATTTCTATATAGGAACAAACAGAACAAAAGGTCTGAAATTCAGGCTCCATTTGGGAAGAGTGCAAATACAAATATGTAGACTGCAAAACCTTGTATTTTGTATTATTTTGTATGTATTTGCACTGTACGTATTTGTATTTGTACTCTTTCCAAACTGAGCCTCAACAACATAAGCCAGTAGCAAAACACTTCATTTCATGTAAATTAGTGCTCCACTAATTGCTTGGCATACACCAATCATGTATAGGAAAATAAGAACAAGAAAATAGCAGAATATGATACGTATGTCAATAAAGGAAAACTATCAACATCTTATTGATTGCATAAACAATTCCAAAAATGTGATGAGAAACAATGCTGGGAAAATCTTTTAAGTGTTCCACATAGCATGATATATCAGGATCATTGAAAAATTAACCATAATCCCTGTAAATAAGAATAAAAGACAAAATCTATTAAAGACACAATCAAAAAGTTAACCTGAAGAGGGGAAATCAAACTCTCATGGAACTCTTAAACTGATCTCCAAGAAGGCATGAACCCTCTACTCACTCTTTCCAAGACAAGGCATTTTGATTTCCCCAAGAAGTACCATAAAATGATAAGTTTCCATTTTTGTTCCTCAGGCAAATGCTGCTCAATGCTCCCACATCTTTAATCTAAGGAACATTAAGGTTTGGTATACAAGACATTTCTACCAACTGATTTATATTACAAAGTATAAACACATTCCCACATGGCAACAGAGGTCAATAAGGTAATATGTGAAAGAGACAAAGTTGGCCCTTGTAAGATGTATTGTCATTGTTAATAGTAAAGTGCACCTAAAGACATGTTCTATGCAGTTTACATTATATGAGCCATTATAATTTTTTCTCCCATGATTTGCTAGGCCGTAAATGTCCATGAAAACGCAAATGCTTTGCCTTTCTTTTTTTTTTTTGACAATTTAAAGAAATTTATTAATCAGCAATGGAAAGTAATACAATGTCCCCAAGGAGAGGCACAAGCTGCAACCTCTCCAGGCTAGTTAAGTACAGATTTCCAAAATAATAACAACTTACAAAGTAGCACAAAAAAGATCTTCCCTGGAAACCCCCTGTTTGGCTAAAGAATCAGCAATAGTATTAGCAAACCTGCTAACCCATTTTACCTCAACTCTCATATTGCTAGTTAACCACTTTACTTTTTTTTATGAGATCTTTGTAGCCCCAAATGGTAGTATTCAGGTTTAGAAGCCACCTTGTTACCACCAGAGAGTCCCCTTCAACTAGGAGATGCTCCACCCCAAGCTGGTTAGCGATCTGAATTCCTTGTACTGCAGCTAGTATTTCTGCCCTTGTAGAGTCCCCCACTCCTACTGGTCCTGAGAATAAGGAAATTATGTTGCTGTCCTTATTTCTCAGGACACCCCCTATACCTGAAGGCCCAAGGTTACCTTGGCTGCTTCCATCAAAATTCAACTTGATGACACCTTCTAGAGGCAGAACCCATTCTAACAAACTTCTATTCTTCTTTGTCGAAGTATTAGCTATTACTAACCAATTCCTCCACAAGTCATCAAAGGAGAAATCATCAAATATATCCAAGGTTTTCAGCCAATGAATTGCTCTTGTTAGGATGCAGTCCTTCACTTCATCTAATCTTCTCTCCTTCTCTAAGAAGACTCTTGCATTCCTTTCCTCCCAGAGAGTCTATAAGGTGGCTGCCCTAACACATTTCCACATGAACTTGCCTCTTCTAGTGTGACATACAAAAAAAGATGGGTTAAATAATGAACTCAAATCAGAAGGTAGAGACCACCTACCTCCAAATAAACAAAGGCTCCAACTCCATAAAGCTGTAACAATCAACAAATGGAAATAGTCCTAATTCAGGGCCTTACACAAGGAACACCAATTCGGGGAGAGACAAAGAGAGGGTCGCTTTTTCTGCAAGTTTTCCAAGGTATTGATTTTCCCATAGTAGACTTCCCAACAGAATACAGCAATTTTGGGGGGAATAGGTCGCGCCCAAACTTCTTTGAAGGGGAACCCTTGGGAATTGGGGTGAGAACTGAGGGATTTTAGAAAAGAAGAACAAGTAAATATACGTTTTGGAAGAGGAGTCCAAACTCTTTGATCAGAAGATGTGGGGTCCAAACAAACGGACTCTAGTAAATGAATTAGCTCAATAACACAACTCGATTCACCGTCCCTTAACCCTCTACGAAAACCAAAATCCCAGTTTAAAGACAAGGGAGTTAACGGGTTTGGGAGAAAATTTGCAATTGGCTCATTTTTATGAAGGGAGAGGGAATAGAGCGAGGGGAATCGATCTTTGAGGGGTTGAGTACCCACCCAAATATCCTCCTAGAACCGAATAGCATCACCAGAACAAACATCATACCTGATAAAACTGAGGAAGCGAGGGAGAATACCATGTATAGCCTTCCAAGGTGTTGTAAGGGGTAGCTCAACGAGATATCCCGACATCCCAACCATTTCTTGAGCAGCCATGAAATGCTTCGCCTTTCTTTACCGAAAAGGAAAAAGTAAATCAAGGTTCCTAAAGCTTTAATAAGAAAAAGAGTGGTTACCACACATCTCCTGCCTATTGAGTACCCACTCTAGCCAAACCAAGGATTAAAATTTTGCAACTTATCAAGGCGTATCAACCGATATGTATTGTATAGGTGACCCCCCAATATGCCCCTACAGTAGGATATTCAGGACCTGACCTGGTTCAAAGGGTAGATGGGCCTTAAAGCAACTTCCCTGAACCAATTTGAAAAAAAAGAAAAACTAAAAAAAAAACATAAAAGCATCCAATAATTCATGCCAATATGCCATATTGGCATGTATCAAACTATCAATATTTAGAACCTTGATCCAAACTGATTGATAATGCATTGCAAGATCAAAGATGTGAAGTTGTGAACTTGTCTTTTATTTCATTGGTAACAAAAAACATAGAAGTTTATCAAAGCATAGAAAGAAGAACAACAAAGAAGAGAAATCTAAAAATGTAATTTGGTTGATCTAAGAATGAGCCCCGATAAATAAAATTATAAAACCATTTGTTATGAACAAGTTAAGAATTTATGACCTGAACATGGACTTCTTTGTGTTTGTCTCAAAAGGCTTACTTGGGGTCCAAGGGCGGTTAAAAAAACACAAAGCACAAAATTTAACTCAGGCACACACCTGTCGTGAGGCACAAGGTGCACCAGGCGCACTAGGAGTAGACCTTTTTAAAGGGGCTACACCTAGGCCTAGGTGAGGTGCAGGCCCTAAAATGCACCTCGCTTATGTCCCTAGGCATGCCTTTTAAATCACTGTTGAGAACTATCTGCCAACCTCACTTATCCCTCCCAGAAAGTAAATGGTAAGAGCTTATAATGATTAGTAGCACTGGAATCAATAATCCAACGGGAATGAGAGGTGGTCACATGGAAAGAAAAGGCCTATGTACCTGAACTGGAAGCATAGGATGAAGAGGGAACAATAGAGGTCTCCTCCAGTTAACAAAGAGCCCTACCATATCCTTCCAACAATTGATCTTTCAAGGCATTTAGTATTTCTTCCTTTAGTGCAAAGCTTGTAGAATGATCGTAGGCTGCATTGGTGCTAGAATTACTCTCTTGATATACAGTACCAAACACAACATTATCTAAATTCTATTTCTTTCCAAGCTTCTGCTGAAATTTCTTGGAATTTCCTACAAGATCCCAACAAGTCACCTTAGTATGACAAGATCAGCCACAATCAGAGCACCACAACTTGTCTTTATCAACTTCTTAATTCTTCTCATTCACTGTAACTTTCTTACCCTCGTTGCTGCCACCCAGTCATAAGAGCCACCTACCCCTCAGGAGGATTCATAGCTATCCTCCTACTTTCCATTGATTGAACAAGGAGATACAGCTCTTGAAGAAAGGGAAGTTCTTTGCTGCCCAATATCTGAGCCCACATGATCTCATAAACATGATTCATGCCAGCAAGAAATGCAAACACATACTGCTGATTCACAAACTTCTTATAGTCCTTAGCATCCAATTTTCCTCCCACTCAATGGTTTGATAGTAGTCCAGGTCTGTGCCATTTTTAAAAGATAATAAAACTTATAAAATCATTTTTTTAGGGATTAAAAATTTAAGACCCTAACATGGAATTGTTTGGGCTTGCCTCAAGGGACTTGGTACAAAGGCAGCTTGTAGAATTAGGAATGAAAGATGTAACATCACATTAACTATTTTAAATAATGCAACTGAGAAAGAAATAAAGAAATTAAAAGTTTGACATGCTTGAATATGTTTTGTATGCTATTTTATATTTTATTTTATTTTTGCATTTTTCACTTTGAATATGTTTTATATGTTATGTTTATGTTTTTAAATTTGAGCTAATAGGATTTTCTAAAACATTTAGTTTAAAACTAAAGTTTGAACTTTTTTAATTAATACTATTCAAATATTTTCTTAATTTATTTCGATTTTTTTTTACATTTTTGCATTTTTTTAAACTTTGCACCTTGATTCAAAAAGGAGCATGCCTCGCCTTGGGCGCATAATGGTGTCTGCACTTTTTTTGTGCCTTGCACTTTTAAAACATTGAAAAACACCAAGAGAAATTTGCACCTGCCAGTCTGCCCTTAACATTGGTGTAGAAACAACCCAGCAGAAAAACAGCACCAACTATGATCAAATAGGAAGAAAAAAAAAAAACTAAATATAGCAGCAACTCAACTCCTAAAACCACCAGAAAAGAAAGAGGAAAGACTGCTTACTACTGCTGCCACAGGCCAGCAATCAAACACCTTGAAGACAAATGTTACAGTGAATACCCAAGGCTTCAACTAAGCAGCAGATCAGGGCAGATCACTAGTTGGAGTACAAACTCTTAAAAAACACATCAGAACCAGCCCAACTTCAGCCCAGAAACATGTAGTTGCAGAGACCTTT